AAAAAAATATAGAGAGAGATATCCAATGAAAATGAGTGAGAGATTTCTGTAATCCTCTAGTAATTGAAATCCTTTTTGTGAATATTTAATGTCAGATCTGCTATATGTTGTCATGGGCTCATCCAAGGTCAATGGCACAGAGTTTGAGCATTGACTTAATATCTGCCCAGTTAGGACGGTGAGAGAGGCAGGTAGAGGCAAACAAGTTCGCTATTCTCTTAGGATCCTGCCTGTAAGAAGGGACAGAGCTCCTTCCATTTAGGAGGTCTGCAGTATTGAAAGGATGATATGACCAAAAGTACCCAGCAGGTTGTCTGTGTGCATTTAAACCACCCTCTGGCATTTGTCAAGAGGAAACTGCCCTGCTTCAAGGAGATTCTTATTGCCAAAGTGGATGCCCCCATCTAACATGGGGAAGTCATGTTGGTTTCTTCTCCAGAGGGCAGTGGAGGCTGTGAAGACTTAGGAGTGTCCACAGGAGCCTTAGGAGTGTTTTAGGAGCATCATTGTCATGCAGAGAAGGATTTTGTGCTGAAGGGTTAACTGTTAAGTAAATGATAATCTTCCTCTTCTAGCTCCACCCTCCTGCAGCCTTCTGGGAAGGCTTATCCATTCTCTGCGCCATAATTTAAGCCTGTACCTTATCTAATTTATAGAGGGCATTTTGTATCTGGGTTTGCACAGTTTGAGAAATAGAGTAAAAGCAGTAAGAGTCTCATTTTTCATACTGTTAATAGCTGTCTTAAGGGCCTGTATTTGCAGGAAGAGCCAGAATTTGTTGCAGGTTTTCAGTAGGTGAAGTAGAGCATCCACCTGTCACAGAACCAAAAATGTAATGAATGATGCTTATAGTGTAGCAGAGGGGTCCCTAGGAAAAAAGGAAGTTCCAGATTCCCTGCCCCACCCAGAACGAGGGTGGAGCTGAGCAGAGAAAAAAGGGGAAGAGAGAAGAGAAGGAAGCTGGATAGAGAGCCAGAAGGAGACCTGAGGAAGCCACATGGAGCAGCAAACTTGTGATGAAGAAACCGGGCTTGTTTCCTGATCCTGGACTGGCTAAGGCAGGTGTGGGCGAGAGACCTGTAGGGAGTGACTATGGCAGTGTTTCTATTGATTTTGATTTTGCTCTTTTCCTCTCAGATTTGTCTGGCCATTTCTGACCCTTTTCCATGGGCCCCGGCCAGAAGGTGCTTTAGTCTTGTGGCAGCTTTCAGGCCTTGCTTTGGGCCAATCCCTTTTGGGTGGACTTTTGTCCACGAGGGGATGGGTCACTTCAGGTGTTTGATTTAGAAGTTATATTCTTTGTGCTCTGTATTGTATATTCACTGTATTAAAGTCCCTTTTCATTAAAGTTTTATATATTTTGTCTTCTTGCGGCGGATGGCAGAACCCACTTAGAGCAGGCAGGATTTTGGGGCTTCAGAGGTGTCCCTCTCCCCCTGTTCTGGAACAGATTTGGGGTGCCCTATAACAATACAAGGTATCAAAAAGACACTCAGAGGCACAGATTGTAACAGCAGGAATGGCTTATAAATCACCTATGGATGAGTGCAAAGGCAAAATCGTTTGTCAGAAACTGCGTTTCACCAGATTACTGATGTTTTTAAAATTGGTGATAATGTTGTTACAGGGCAGGGAGAGAGGGGTACCACTGAACCCCCAAACCTGCCTGATCCAAATAGGTTCTGCCATCTGCCATATCAAGACAAAACATATAAGACTTAAAAGGAACTTTAATTCAATGAGTATACAATACGAAAGACAAAGAATATAATTTCTAAGTCGAACACCTGAAGTTACCCATCCCCTTGTGGGCAAAAGTCCATCCAAAAGGGACGGGCCCAGAGCAAGGCCTGAAAGCCGCCACAAGACTAAAGCACCTTCTGGCTGGGACCCATGGAAAAGGATCAGAAATGACCAGACAAGTCTGGGAGGAAAAGATCAAAATCAAAATCCATATAAACACTGCCATAGTGAACCTCCCCATGGGTCTCTCACCCGCATCTGTTTAACCAGTCCAGGGCCAAGAAACAAGCACGTTTCTTCATCACATGCTCCCTGCTCCAGGTGGCTTCCGCAGGGCTCCTCTGGCTCTCCATCCTGCTTCCTTCTTCCTCCAGATTCCTTTTCTTCTCTTCTTCTCTCTCTCAGCTCCACCCAGCTTCTGGGTGGGGCAGGG